TAAGTCACTAGGCTGCAGGCTAGGGATGCCTAAATGAAAAAGAATGACTTTGGACCACAGCCTCTCTTCTTCAACTCCTTGCAACCTTCCCGCTCATCCGCCACCACCCACAGCCCACACAGTCTGTCTGTCTCTCACCCCCTGACTGCTGTAGAACAACACAAGCTGTTGCCAATATGCCATGGCTTATCAGTCAAATCCACACAAAGACAGTCAAGCGGTTCCTCGCCCAACAGGGCCTCCAGATGTCCTTCATCGCAGCCCCCTTTTTACTGTGTCCTTCACTTTCCGGGTCGGCTGGAGGGGAGACAGAAACAAACGCACAGGAGAGGTGCGAAATTCAGACAGCTGCTGCCATGTCGGACCAACTTCTTGGTTGTTGTTAATCAGTGTAATTCTTCTGAAATCACTATAGCCCTGGCAATTTTCACAAGCGGACGGTCTGCCTCTGCGTCTTCACCCCAGGGGATTACAAAACACTCAGTTAAAAAGTCTGCCACCAAGGGAGGTCACAGGAGCAGAAAGCTGAAGTCCTGTGGAGGAGGTCGGTGGGACCACTCAAGTGAGCAGAGCTGGCAAGAGAGGGGTGTAGCCAAGATAGCAGGAAGATGCACTGAACAGAGACATTCCCTCAGCAGCCTTTGGCTGGGGGGCTCCCAATGCAAGTCAACATCAGCCATTCTCCTGGAGAAAATCCCCCGAGAGAAGGAAAATGGCCCAGATGCCTTGGATGGACCCTTATCTGGAGCAGGTGTGATAACGTGGATTTCCCTTCAACACTCTAGCTTCAGAGAGTCGCATCCTGGGGGCTTTCCTTTGGCATTCCATTTTCTGGTGTCTTTTCCATTTTTTTCCTCTGTTTAGCTGGATAACTGAAGGTGTGCAGGCCTCTCTCTGGTTGATGTAGTTTGAGAAGCTTTTTTATTCTAGAGATGTAAAAATAATCCCCCACAGGACTTGATTTTCCTTCCACGGCATGCCGCTCTCTCAAACTGCTTCTGCGTTGGTTTATTATTATTATTATTATTATTAAGTAAAGCTTATGGAATTACTGTACTCTGAAATGTGATAAGCGGACTTGGCAGCCTTCAGAGGGACCAATGATAGAATGGGGGAGGGCACTGGGCTATGACTCAGGACACCTCAGTGCTATTCTAAGCTTGGAACAAGTGCTCCAGAGTGCTATTCCAAGTTTCCTCCTCCCACCCTTTGCCTGCCTTGTCCATGAGATTATCAGCTCTTCAGGGCAGCAACTTTCTCTCAGGCCATGTCCTTACTCGGGGGAAGATCGATGCTGCCATGATCGATCATCCGAAGTTTGATTTAGTAGGTCTAGTTAAAACCTGCTAAATTGAACTCGGAGCCTCCTCCCCACCCTCTTGTCGGTGGCCAGTACTCCTGCTTCTGCAAGGGTAAGGGAAGCCAATGGGAGCATTTGCTCCTCTCAGCCTCCCACTGTGGGGATGGCAAGGAAACTCGAATCAAGGTACATTGACTCCACCTATATAATTAACATTCCCCTTTAGTGTAGACCTGGCCTCATAGAGTTTGCACAGGGAGTTCCCTGGACTCAGCTTGGCTCTGTTGTCACCGTGACAATATAAATACACCGTACTGATGAAAGTGCGGCATATGTTAGCATTTACTGCTGCTTTTTCCCTGTTCCTGCTCTGTGGATTAGGACTTCATCTTGCAAGTCTATAGATCCCGTTTTATTCATAAGCACTTACCTGAAATAAGAAATTTTGTGAAATGAGGCTCCTGTCAGGTTGCAGTATGCTGTACCAAGTGAAGAAAAACGTACCAACAGAATTCAACCAGATGGAAAACAGGCAGTGCATTGTATCAGAATTTGAAGGGAACATGCTGAGAAGTTACATAGATTAATTACCATGACAGCCATATGTCCATTCTTGCAGAATAGGAGTCATGCCCAATGGGCGCAAGTATAGCAGAAACCTTTATAGACCTGGTTACTACATGTTCGCTATCCAAGCCCCAAATCAATAGTCCCTAAGCATGCTAAGAGTTGGCAGGATATGCACAACTGAGCCATGGGCGGGTTGATCCAGCAGTCAGAGTAGAAGTCAGACTAGTTCAGATACCAGTAGATCAGAGACCAAGACAGCCCAGACGATGAACCACAAGTCAGGAGGCAGGCAGGTTCACGCAACACTGCCAGGAGACAACCTTAAGGGCAGAACCATGGAGCCATACCCAGAGTCCGAGACGACAGGAAGTCAAGCTAGTAAAGTGGGAACAGGAAGCACAAGACACACAGTCCAGAATAAGAATGACTTTCTGTTCCTCCGATGGGTTTAAATATAAGCTGTGGACCAATCAAGTCCTACGACCTAGGACTAGGGTCCTCTATCTGAGTTCAGCTCTTAATTTGACAACAATTAGCTTGCCCTGCAAGCTCCTAAAGAGCCCTGTGGACCAGTGTTCAAGACTGACAGGCTATTAAGGTTTAGCCATCCCTCAATTAATAAAGGCAGTTATTATGGACCAGAATGCCCCCTTACATTCAGAAGCATTACCAACCACAAGATGTCACACTCTGTTCAACTGAACCACTGACAGAGAACTCCCTTTGAATAACAATATCAGAAACTGGCCCAAAAGAATGACACTTTATTTTATAGTCTGACCTAGCAGCTGCAGGCTCTGTATGAAGAAATCCTTGAGACAGTATTTTGCTCTGCTTGCCTGTGTTAAAATATGTACGAGTCCTGCTCAGGAAGTCTATTTGACAACTTACATCTACTTGGATAGATTCAAGTAACAGCAAGCAAAAAGGTTCCACCAATTTCTCTGGAAGGAAATTTAGCTCTCTCAGGCCACTCCCTTTTCAAGGTTTCAACTTCTGATGCAACAGGGCATCTGTTTTTCAACTTGATGAATGTTAGCAGTTTATTCCACATTGTTACGTACAACCTGCTGTAAACTTAAGAATTCATGGCCAGATTTTAAAGATATTTCGATCCACTGAAATAAGTAGGAGCGAAGTACCTGGACATCTTTAAAAATTGGAACCTCAAGTAATTTTACTAAAAACCTTGTATTAAATGAGTGCCTTGGTGACTGTCCTTCTCTAATTCATTGCAGAAGTGGGGCAGAAAGACAATAGAGACTTCCCCTCATTGGCTTACTAAGTGTCTAACAGCAAGATTTCCAAAGGCAATTAGGTGCTTAACGATGAGGATGTTTCACCTAGTGGTATTTCAGAAGTTAAGAGTTGGGGGCTAAGTGCCTAGGCCCTTTCCAAAATATCACTAAGCACCTATCTGCATTTTAGGTTCCTAAAAAAGAAAAGAATTGAGGAATTGGACTCGGTGTCCATTTCTGGAATAACCAGTGCAAACATTTCAACCTCCATGATGATTTCCTTCACCTTTAGTTTCTTGGGCAGGCCTCTTTGCCCCTCCCCCCCGGCCAAAAAAAATAAAACCAATTTGCAGAGCAACTAGCCAAAGATGTGAAAGCTTTAAGAGCAAAAAAACCCACCTTAAGTACATCAAAAGCAGGAAGCTTGCCAATAACCAATGGCCAATAACCATTGGCCCCTGGATGGTCGATGTGCTAAAGGAACGTTCAAGGAAGATAAGGCCATTGAGGAAAAGAGAAATGAATTCCTAACTGTCAGGGTGGTTAAACACTGGAATAAGTTGCCTAAAGAGGTTGTGGAATCTCCATCACTGGAGATATTTAAGAGCAGGTTGGATAGACATCTGTCAGGGATGATCTACACAGTGCCCAGACCTGCCGTGAGGGCAGGGGACTGGACTCAAAGACCTCTCAAGGTCCCTTCCAGTTCTAGGGTTCTATGATTCTATGATTGCCATGGGATGCCAGGAAGGGCAAAAGTATAATAGGGTTCAAAAAGAATGAAATGGGTTCATTTAGGACAGGTCCATCCATGGCTATTAGCCAAGCTAGCCAGGGATACAACCCCATGCTCTTACTAAGTGTTCCTTGCCTCTTATTGCCAGAAGTTGGGAATGGACGGCAGGGGATGGGTCACTCTGTGATTGCCTTTCTTTACATGACTTCTGAAGCACTGCATTTACCATTGTTAGATGACAGGATACTGAGGCAGATGGACCATTGTTCTTATTCATTATGGCTGTTTTTATGTTCTCAGAGACTACTCCACTGATAGTTCTTATTGTATGACTAATGGTTGCAGATCTCATTGCTTCTTTGCACTTAGTTTCTTGGGGTTCCTCCTAAGGTACATGACAGCTGAACCCTCAACCAACACAATGTTTAGATATTAGAATGCTGTCTGAAAAAGTCAAAGGTTCAGTTCCTAAGTGAGACCCGCGAATGTGATTCATCTACTGTGTGTCCCACAAAACACTGGAAGTACTTGGTTTTTGTGTAGACAAGCAGGCCAGTATTCCCATAGCCGTGGCTGTCATTGAACAACAGTATTTTCTGTAGAATATGTGAGGTGGCAGTGCTGCGGTGACTTTCACCTTTGGAATGAGAAAGTAAACTTCAGGAAAGAAAATGCAATTAGTCTACAATGATCTAATAATCAAAATAAACATGGTCCATGCAGGCAAAGAAATTCAGCTCAGCTCTCGTTCACCTGGAAAATACTTAATAGTCACCCTCTAGTCAATGTTCAAAGGAGATCACCAGAGACACGTTGACCTTGGCAAGCAGGCCTCATTCCATTTTAGCCTTTGCATTGAGTGATAAGAAAATACAGACAGCTGGAAGTTAGCACCCAGGCAGCATTCATTAACTCTGGCGAAATGCCTTCAGTGCACAACAGCCTGCATAATGCCAGAAAGAGAATGGCAGTGGGAACAGTGCACATTATAGTCATGGACATTGGATTGCAAATCATTCACCAAAAACAAACCCACCCTCCAAAACAAAGGCTCTCCTACTGCCTTCATCTCTGTTCTTGTAGAGAAAGCGGTCTTCAAAACCGGACCGGAGCAAAAAACAGCGCACATAACAAAAGACAGACATGAGATGTCACCTCAAGCATCTATCTTGGATATCACTGGATGCTCTTTGGGTCTTGTTACACCCCGCTGGATGTTTGGTAGCCTTCAGAAAGACAAAATAAATCTTTTCAATGCATCTAAGTGAGAGAAATTCCCATGCCCAGAAGCAGCCTGCAAACTGAATCACGAGACTCGGGCATTCGATAAGTAAAGCATCTTCCCTTAGCTATCTAATAGAAACTGTAGTTCAACACAACAGCCTACTTCAACGTTAATGCCACTGGTAACGTGCAGGCAAACGGACTATTTCTATTTTCAGAATGCCACTTGATTCCCCTCATTGTTCAAGGTGACGGATGAGCCGCACAGGAACACTGTGATTCTCCTGAGACTAGGATCCACCCTGCACATTTATCCTACTTTTTGGAGTAAGGGGACTCCTTTCCTCTGCTCCAAAAGATTATTTTCATCCTCATTATCCCAAACGTTTGTCTGTGCTCTGCTGCTAAACAACAGACAGACTTGTCACAGAGTCGAAGGCCAGAAGGGACCATCTAGTTTGAGTTCCTATATGTCACAAGACACTAAATCACACCCTGTTATTATGTTTAACTCAAAAACCTGGATTAAACTAAACTACATGTTGAACCTTTCTAGTCCGGCACCCTTGGGACCTGACCAGTTTCGAACCAGAGAATTTTCTGGACCATGGGAGGTCAATATTGTCTAGCAGCGTTACAACACTTCCACTGCTTACTGGGCTGTTAGAGGGCATTTAGGGGTAAATTAGAGCTAAATAACAGCACTGAACACTGAGAGCCAGGACTGGTGGCAGTAAACAAGCTTTTTGGGACTGCGAGAGACTTGGTTGTAGCCATGTAAAGTGGACAACCAGCTAACTAAAATCATGCTGGACCATGGACATTTCCAGACCAGAAAGTTCTGAATGAGAGAGGTTCGACCTATATTTAGTGCCACAGGCTGAAACTAGGAAGAATGGGGATGCACCTCTGGCAGGGAAATGATATGGTGAGACATACTCAGATCACTCGAGGGCTGCAAGAAGAAGAGTCATGTGGGAATTTCCATTGAGAAGTGCTGTATGATGCAGTGATAACACTGTGCAACTTGAAGTATACAACAGGGTCACCCCTATCCCCCTCACTCTGTTCTGTTCTGTGGTTCCTTAATGTTGATTACACACTCAGGGCTAGCTTGCATTTGATCTTTGTGCACATACATGAACGGTGGGGGAAAAGTCTCAACACGCCATTTTCTTCACCACGAACCTTCTACTCGAAAGCCAGGCACAAAAGAGTCTTGGCGCTCCAACAAGCATCTAAGCACTCTGCACCAAAACTGTATGGTTCTCCTGCTCTCAGCCCACTTGCAAACCAAAAGTGATCAGTACACGGAAAGAAAGGCAGGAGAAATAAAGGGAGATGCACATTAAAGCAAATAAGAGGAGGTAGATCCAATCATGCTGTGACGGCGAAGAACTAAAAGGGCAACTATGTCTAGCATGCAATATGCCGTTTCAGAAAAACAGCTGCTCAGAACAGCCTCCCATGTGAGGAGCCAAGCAGATGACCCTGATTGCTGTAACACGAGGCCAAATTAAAATTAACCATATGCCACTGCAATGTAGAGAAAGATGGATTAATTAAACTTTGCTTCTTCCCCTCATTAATAGGCCACCTTTCGTTCCGGGGAATTTCCCTCCCTCTTCCCCATGGTTCATCTGTTAATATTACACATGTGGTCTAGCCGTCCGTGGAGTGCTGGCGGGCCGAATAGCTCAGTTTTCTAGTACTTGTAATGCCTCACTTCCTTCTCTCCCCATGAAAGGCTTTAGGCTACAGTTTTCCAAGTGCCTGAATCTAGGCCCATGTAGCCAGCCACAGGCCCTTCAATGAGGGACACCATTTTGGATCAATTCCTTTCAAGAAGGCTGAGCCCTGCAGTTCTACTTCAGCTACCGCATAGAGTCCGTCCCTCCATCCATAGCTACCACAGACTAATAGGAAGTGCTGTAGGAGGTCCCCTCAGCATACGCTAATGGGAATTTTTGTCTCAATATACACTGCACAACCAGGGACTCGCGTGGCACTTGAAAAAAAATCCAGGTTATCATTCTGCAAACAGTATCGAGTAAGTAACAACTAATAACCACCATCAATAAGCAAGGGAGTGAACAGATGGAAAAGGGGGAGAACTGAGAAAGAGGGTGATGAGACAAACACCTGTGCTCTCCCAGCCTCACTCTGAAATCTCTTCTGGATATGCCCCTGTAAATACCCAGAGACGGGTACCTACCCAGCAACCAGCTCCAGCCAGCCGCACATCTTCTGCTGCATGAGCATCATGGATGCGGCCATATTGAAATACATTTCTCTATATTTTCACCTATTTGTCTTCCTCCCAGCCCCAACATGAAAGCATTAAATATGAATTACATGGCATCTCTTTGAATTATTCCCTCACATCCAGCATGGAGGTAATTGCATCCATTTTCAAGCTATCTGAAAATGTCAATGAAGAACGATGGACTCTCTGGTCCTGGAGAAACAAGCAACCCCTGAGGAGATCAAAAAGACATGACTGCTGCATTCTACCCCTCATGGGAATGTAGGAAGGAAGGCAAGGGAGGCCGTGTTTGCACCCTCAGATACTTTTCTCTCCTGGCACACAAATGCAGGGCTGGATCTTGCTGTGGGCAACTGTATTGGTGCTTCCCTTTTGCAAACAACTCCCCGACAACACTTTTGTGATGATTGCCCCCTTGTGTGACACATTGCGGCCTGACCCCAGGGCTGACAGGATGACCTGCTACAAAGCGACCAAAGAGACAGGACTTCGATCAGCTGCTGGAGCAGACTCATATCTGCCGCCAGCTGGGCACCCAAGGGGGTCTGTAACATGAACTCACAGGAGAGTTATTGACATTTTCAGATATGTTGTGGCAATGTAGCTTTGGAAGAATGGTGCAACTATTTAGTGCCTGATTCAGTCAGCCTCACACACTCTGAAGTCCCCTTATACCACTTTGATTGCTATCCGAGAGAGATACTACTCTGGCAGTGTAAAATAGATGAATATTTCAGTCCCTTGACACTTCAGAATCCTTTCATTCATTGCATCTTGATACCTAAAGAAGTGACTCTCAGCAGGTCATTAAAAACCAACATATTTGTTGCAACACATTCATGACCAAAACACAACACTGTGCCAGGAGGGTATGAAGGCCAGATTGCAGTTTACTGTTATTACATCTTATAAGACCAATGCTCTTTGAACAACCAAGTACATAGCGGAACTCTGAAGGCTTCCTTCTAACTTGGGTAAAGCCCAGTGAAGTCTAAGGAAAGTTTGCCAGAATGCAAGAAGAGAGCCAGGCACTCGCTATTCAGCCTACCACAGGGCCAAGTGCTATTACCCTCTAACCTCAGCTGTTGTGGTAGGCCCTAAACATAACAGAATACCTGCAATGGCTCCCAGAAACAGTGCAAGCCATGTAAGCCATGTGGAAAGAATAAGTCTCTTCAGGGCAGTGTGTAGGGGAACAATTGGGCAGCAAATCAGGATAGGGCAGGGACTCTAGAAAGGGAGGTTGGCAACTGGATTCACCCAGGCCTAAAAAACTCAACCAGGCTACGCCAGTGGCTCATACAGCCCACAGGGTGAAACAGCAACAAAAGTGATTGCATAATTATTCTGTACTAAGGGTCAGATCTAGGCCTCTTCAAGTCTTCCTCTACAACACCCTACAGAACAAAGCAATATATGTCTGGGGCTGAGTCACCTTGTTACCATAACAGTTTATATTGTATCCCTGCAGAGAGCACTGGAAGTAAAAAGATCACCAAACTGTCTTACAAGACTAGATTTCGCTTTCTTGTTTCCTGCCTGGGAATCAGCACCGCGGACTTTCCAAAATGCTTGTGTTAATTTGCTTAGTCCCAGCAGTGTCCAAACACCAGTAGGGTCTTACCTTGGCGATCT